ATACCGAATCCTGCTCACCTTCATGGAAACATCTGATGTTTGAAGCTCATCCAACTTCAACTGAAGTTTGGCCTTTTCTGTGTTTGCTTCTGCAAGCTTTTCATTTAAGCGTTTTACATCCTCTGGAGGAAGGAAATCAGTGTTAAAAACACCTTGATTGTGTAACAGCTTTGATTACTCACATAACTAAATTGTAAAGAATGAGAACAGGCAAGACGTAATGGATGTAATTGTATGTTGGGCAGTAAGATACCGTGTAAGGTATGGGTTTAAATCTACAAAAACAAGCACCAAACTGCTGGTTTTCTGCAATTAGTGTGTTATTTCCTGCCTTCTTTCCTTTCCTCTAAATACTGATTCCTGCTAATCCATTACTTGGTGCTGCCTGGCTACTCCACTTAATTCAATTGCTCAAGCACGTCTTTTTATTCAGTATTTTATGACTTGGCTGTACCATTTAAATGTTCAACCTCCTGGGATCGCCTTTCGCTTGTTCGAACCAAGTCTCTCTTCTCAGCTTCCAGTTCTTCCTTCTCTCTACTTAACTGGCTCTGAAAAAAATGGAAAAAAAATCAATAAAGAAACGTGACCAGCTCTCTGCAACAGTTTATAGTCACCACTCACACTCAGGATCACACAGCAGCAAGCTAAACCTCAGTAAGTCACTCTAGCCAACTGAAAACTCAGATAAGAGGCTTGCAGAGTGGGGAGCTGAATCAGTCTAACAATAGGAACTGTTCAAAACTGCATTTAATTTTAGTATTCTTTGAAAGACAGATTTGATACTCAAGACTTCGTTGAAACAGTTTTAGTTGGTTCAATAAAAGAGGTAACAGAGTAAGCAAGAAATGAATCTGTGTAAAAAAAAATCAAAATAAAAATCAAATCAAAGTCAAAGATCTTGGATTGTTTATAGGCAACAGCAGTGCCTGTGCCTTCAAGATGCCACTACAAAGCACCTCAGTCAGGCCTAGGTAAGCCCCCCTGGGGAAACAATCAGATCAGTCCTGTTATTGTGGAAAAATCAATCTAATAATCTTGGGTTTGCTTCCTGCTCCAAAATTACTGTTCTGCTGGATCAGCCAGCTCAATGACCCATCCTGCAACCCCAGACTTCTGAGCATAACACTGAGTATAAAAGGAAAACTGTGCCTGAGAGTGGGAAAGAATGGGGAAAAACAGAATTCTTGTTTATACCTTTGTCTGAATTTTTGGGGTTTGGCTAAAGTCACTTCCCAACAGGTTTCAGCCAGAATGGAACAATCCACCCCAACTGAAACAAAAGGAGCTGCTCACCTGTCACTCAGTTTGCTAAAACACCAGCTTTTACTGATGTAAGCCCACATGGTTTTCCTGTACACATGTAAATAGGGACATACTGGTCCAGCCCAGTTGGGAACTGGTTGCACTCTGTGCTGCACAGAGAATCCAGGTGAATCCCAGGATTTGAGGTTATGGCCACGTTCCCCCAGTACCTGAACGGCCGCGTTCCGGTCCTGGGCAGCCTCGAGCTCCTTGTTCTTCTCACTGAGTGACTTCAGCTGCTCATCTGTTGGGTGAGAACAAACAGTAGGGAGGGATCTCCATTGGAATATGACAACGTTCACTCTTCAAATGGAACCGAGTCAAAAATTCCCTTAAAAATCTTTAATAAAAAAAAAAACCCAAACAATTCCAGACTTCCCTCTGAATGGACAGGGTGGTGTTGTGGCAGACTAAGGCAATCTTTAGAGCAAAGCACTTATTATGCACATTAATTCATTACCACAAAAATCACAAAGCAAGGTGGGTTTTTTCCATTAGGACAAAAAATTTCATTAGAAGGGCCGACTTGACCACAAAACCAAAACACCTCTTTACGAGCAGAAACACAAGTGCAGCTGATGATGGATTTTCAACTCCTAAAGAATTCCAGCAGAAACTGGGCTAAAGGATGGATATTCTGCCCGTTCTTCAGGAATGCACAGTTCACTTACGAAGCTTTTTGAGCTCCTCCCGCAGAGTTTGACATTCCTGGGTCTCATTCACAAGCCTCTCCTGACTCTGAGCCAGTCGCTTTTCCACTTCAAAGTACTGTTGTTCTGCAGGATAACAAAGTCAGCTCAGTTGCATTTCATAAACATTTCCTTTTCTTTCTCACCTTTACCAAGAATCCTTATTAACAGACATTTCTACCAAAGAAAGGCATTTATAAAGAAAATATATAAAAATACTAAGACTGTAGTGGAATTCGAAGAAAAAAAAGCATTTTTAAAAGCAAAAAGCTGCACTTCCACATTGAATTAACATTGTTTAAAACATTTTGCTAGCATGAAAAGTTTCCAGAAATTGTGATATGTTTCAACCTGGTCTAGTGGGAGGTTTCAGCCATGGCAGGGGGTTGAAACAAGATGAGCTTTAAGGTCCCTTCGAACCCAAACTGTTCTGTGATTCTATGAAATTATCCATCAAATAACAGCCTAATGAATCTGAGTAGTTCTTTAACATTTCTGATGTAGCCACAGATGTTGTAGCAGCACAATTATGCAATGTGCTTTCATCAACTTACAACTTCTTTTACCTCTGAAGTATTTATCTGCATGTACAACAAACCCCATATAATCACAGATATCAAGGGGTTTGACTGAGAAAAGTTGTAATGAACACTTCCTAAAGTGAATTCCTGTGCTCTATTCCCTGTGTACTGAAAAGAATGATTAGGCTTGAATTTCTTTTATCTGAAACAGTAACTGTGTCATGGAGCTTCACTGTAAAATACTCAGTAGAAGCAGAACTCCTGGGGAGAACGGGCTCCTAAGGAAGTCCTGAGAGATGTTTCTCTATCTCCTGCTTTCTCTCACACCTCTCAGCTTCAAATAATTTTGCCCCTCCTGCCACACATGAGAAGAATGGACTTGGAAGAGCACCCTGCTAAAATTGGTGGGTTCCCTTAATTCACACTGCACTTGAATAATTCATTTAGCAAGACTTCTATCGTGAAAGAGGCTGAAAGAAAGGTGGAAGTAAAGTTTCACATCAGAAGCATGTCACATTCCCAATAAATGAACTCATTCCCAACATTACACTCTTCTCTCCTGTTCTCTCCTGGTACTATTGTTCTGTGACCAAGTAACCTCCAAATCAACTGTCCTAGTTAGGACAACTGAGACCAGTTCATCAGGGTATGGGTGTAACCCAAAACTGGGTATTCTATAGCCTTCCATGCCATTTCCCAGAAACTGTTATCAATGAACCATTTACACCATCTGCCCATAGAGCCTGACTCCTCAGGCTACAAACTAGGTGTTAAGAGGCCTGTGAGATAGGAGGATGCTCCTGTCCTCACACCCTTTGTGGAACTCCCCGCCCTGAGGGAAGTGCTGGGCATTCCTGCCTGAACTGCAGGATATATAATCTTGGAGTCTTGGAACATTTTTGGAACCACTCTGTGGGATCCAGAGAAAGACTGCAGCTCATCGCTCTCAAACAGACTTAGACCACCACCCTCAACTGGACTGCAATCACCACTTTTGACCAGACTGCAACAGCTCTTCCCCCGGCATCTCACTGCAATCACCACTTTTGACCAGACTGCAACAGCTCTCCCACCAGCAGGTTCTTCCCCTCTCCCTTTACTTTGGACTCAAGCGGGGCCCAAGGAACACCACTTTGTTCATGCCCCAGGGTACTGGGTCATACATTTGGGTTTTGTGGGTTAAGACCAACTGTTTGTTTGTATGATTGTACTTACTGTATTATTTTAGTAAATTGTTATTCTGACTTATAATCTCTCCTTTGAGTTGAGTTCATTTCCCCTGCTGGTTGACTCTTAAACCAGCACATCAACATAAAAACATTGATTCTCTCGGGACCATTTCACAGAATGGCCTTCAACATGTTATGTAGCACAAAGGTATAAACCTGAGGCTGTTTGGCAGGTGGGAAAACAAAACTCTATTTCTCCTCCACGACAAGGATCAGAGCAGGCTGAAGCAGAGAATCATCCGGACTGGAAGAGACCTGAAAGGTCAGAGTCCAACCATCCCCCAGCACTGCCAAGGCCACCTGTAACCTGTGTCCCCAAGTGCCACAGCCACACGTTTTTTGGACACCTCCAGGGACGGGGACTCCACCACTGCCCTGGGCAGCTGTGCCAGGGCTGGACAACTCTTTCAGTGAAGAAATTTTCCCAATATCCAGCCGGAGCCTCTCCTGGCACAGCTGGAGGCCGTTCCCTCTCCTCCTGTCCCTTGTTCCCTGGCAGCAGAGCCCGACCCCCCCCGGCTCCCCCCTCCTGTCAGGGGGTTGCAGAGCCAGAAGGTCCCCCCTGAGCCTCCTTTTCTCCAGGCTGAGCCCCCCTAGCTCCCTCAGCCACTCCTGCTGCTCCAGCCCCTTCCCAGCTCCCTTTCCTTCCCTGCACACGCTCCAGTCCCTCAATGTTCTTTAAACCCGCTCCAAATAGTTTTAACCCTGAACATTCTTGGTAAGAGAAAAAAAAAAAAAAAAAAGAAAGAGACTCCAGGAGCCAACGAGAGAGACCAAACACGACCAGGTCCCACTGCAGTGTCCTTCCCAGCCCCTTCTCAGCCTCAAAGCCCTCAGGGTACCCCCTGGAAGCCTCTGGAAGGCCCCCCCGCCGCGCTCCCTCCCCTCAGCCAGGCCCGCGGGCCCGCCGCGCCCCCCGCCCGCACTCACCGCTGTCCACCTTGAAGCGCTCGTGGCGGGCGCGCAGCCCCTCGATCTCGCCCTGCTGGTCGCCCAGGAAGCGCTCCAGCTTGCCCTGCACGGTGCGGGGCAGCTTGGCGAGCTCGGCGCGCTCCAGGAGCTGCTGCAGCACGGCCGCCATGGCCGCGGCCCCGCCTCACTGCGCCCGCCCTCCAGCGCTTCCGCTTCCGCCGCCGCCGCCGGCGCGGGGGCGGCGCGAGCGGCACGGGAGAGCCCCGGGACTCGTGTCCGCGGCGGATGGGAGGCCGTCCGTGCCCCCAGGGCTCCCGGGGCTCCCGGGAGATGCTGCGGGGCCGGGGCCGCGGCCGCCCCGCCGCTCCCGCCATGGCGGGGCCGTGCCCGCCCCCCCGCCGGGCCCTTTTCCCGCGCTCCGCATTGCAGCGCGTCATCGGCCCGCGCCGCCCCCGGCGGTGACGTGTGAGAGACACCTCAGTGCTCGGCTGAGGCGGCGGCGGGGCCAAAACGGGCAACTCGGTGAGGCTGAACGAGGGGCTGGTGTCTGGCATCTGACTGTGCTGAGTTCCAGGATCCGGCGGGGCTGAGCGCGGGGCTGAGACGCGGTGGGTGCTGAGCACGGAGGCTGAGCCCTGAGGTGCTGAGCCGGGTGTGGGGACCCGCGGCCCAGGCTGTGGGGGCTGCGGTGAGGTGTGTGAGAGCCTTCCAGGTGGAGGCCCAGGAGGCCCTTTGCTTCCTCACCCAGTGCTCTGGGCTTCAGCTGTCTCGTGGTGATTCTTTGTGGGAGCCCTCGGTGCGTGAAGGGGTTTTCAGAGCAGCCCTGCATGGAAGGAGGAGAGTCTGGGGCAGTCCCCTTTCCTGGGCTCACGGTGGGAGCTGCAAAGGTGGCTGTGTGGAATGTCCACAGATGCTGTGCTTGGGATACCTTGGGAATTGGAATGGAAATGATGCATGACATGTTTAAGTACAAGTGTGGAATTTAGCAAGTCCCCGTGTGAATGGAAAAGTGCATCCTTTACGTTCTGGCCTCTGATGAGACAAAATGCAGCAGAAAAGGGTTGTTTGGAGTTGTTCCACTCCTCGAATCCTGGGGTCGGGTCTGGGCCCCTAATGGCAAGAGAGACATTGAGGGGCTGGAGTGTGTCCAGGGAAGGGAACGGAGCTGGAGCAGCTGAGGGAGCTGGGGGGGCTCAGCCTGGAGAAAAGGAGGCTCAGGGGGGACCTTCTGGCTCTGCAACCCCCTGACAGGAGGGGGGAGCCGGGGGGGGTCGGGCTCTGCTGCCAGGGAACAAGGGACAGGAGGAGAGGGAACGGCCTCCAGCTGTGCCAGGAGAGGCTCCGGCTGGATATTGGGAAAATTTCTTCACTGAAAGAGTTGTCCAGCCCTGGCACAGCTGCCCAGGGCAGTGGTGGAGTCCCCATCCCTGCAGGGATTTAAAAGCCATGTGGCTGTGGCACTTGGGGACACGGGGCAGTGGTGGCCTTGGCAGTGCTGGGGGATGGTCGGACTGGATCATCTCAGGGGGCTTTTCCAACCTGAGCAATTCTAGAGGTTCTTTGTGTGAGGCTGTTTTTCTGTTGCAGTACGTGCACCTTCTCTGACTTTATGCACTGTTTGTTTTGTAGGTTGGAACCCCAACCCTCAAGCTTAGCCCAGAGCCATGGGTAGGACCTACTTTGTGGAGGAGGGGATCGGACAGTACCTGTCCGAGCTCAGCGCGGCGGTGAAGCCTTATGTCACTGGGCTGCTGATAGGGCAGGTGAGTGTGGCATGGCTGGTTCTGCTCCAGTCCCTCCTGGGAACTGGGAAACCCCTGTTCTTGGTGTCGCTCACGGTGTGTTTGCTCACATGGATGTTGTGGACAGTGCTCCCCACAACGGGACTATGTCATCCGGGCTGTCCGCACCCCTCCCAAGGACCAGCACACGGAGCAGAACAGCCCTCCAAAACTGGCATCCCTGGATGAGGAGTGGATAACCACACACGCCAGCCAGGTGAGGAACTCACCCTCTGGGACAACAAAGGGGTGGGAGGAACAAAAGGGAAATGAGATGGTCACAAAGTATCTCATCACTTGTGTCCTCTCCAGCCTTTTTCTCCAAGTGAAAGAACCTCCCTCACCACGCTGGGCACAGATATTTTAAACCAGAAATATCTGTATTGGTTTCAGATTTTTTGATGAAAGGAGCCTTGAGAGCACTGAAGGGAGAACATTTGTGGGGTGTGTTCCTACACTGCAAAGGATCCTATGAGTGAACAGCAGCCTCACCTGTTTCTGCCTGCTTGTCTCCTTTTTGCTAAGTTGCAAGGTTTCTAGATCCCTGAGTCCTGCCAAAAAACGTTCATATTCGTGTTGCAGGTGTCCAGGATGCTCCCTGGTGGGTTGCTGGTTCTTGGTGTGTTTATGATTGCGAGCCCAGAGCTGGCAAAGGACGGGCAGAACGCTCTGCGCAAGGTGAGCAGAACTCCTGCCGGGCAGGCAGCAGCACCTCTGGCTGGCTGAGGAGTTCCCCATCACTGGCTTGAGTATATACTCAAGTAGATTTTGTTGTTTTAAGTCAGAAAATAAAAATATAGGAAAAGCGTCTTCAAGGTTTATATTAAACTAAGTCCTTGTGACACAGGTGTTAGTGATGTTAGGTTTCCTTATCTGAATGAATTGCTCAGATTAGAGATGTTTACAGTAGTGAAAAATTTATAATTCTTACTCATTTAAAAGAAATATCTTGTCTAGAAATAGTGTATTTGCCTTGGGTGTATGGGGTTAAATTTAAAACTGTCTGATAGACTCAAAATACATTTTTGTTACAATATGGGGTGTATAGTGTTACATTTAGTGTTCATTCTGAAGATGTATGTTCATTTTATCATTTTGGTGAGATAAGCGTGCTCGGTGATTTACTCATGAGCAGGTTTGGTAGCCTGAGGTTCAGGACTCAATTCTGGCAGTTCAGTGCACTGGCACCTCAGTTGTGCTTACTGAAATGAGGAGCTGGCTAAAAAAGGTGTGTCCAGTTGATCAGTGGTTACTGAATTTAAATTAGTTGTTTGGTTTCTCTTAATCAGTAATTATTTTGCACAGCTGCCTTTCCTGATCCTCAATGGATAGGCAGAAAGCTGTAATTTTCCTGTAAGCAGAAAACCATACAGGTTGGATATGGGAATGTGTGTTACTTTGTTTGGTGTATAAGGAAGCTGAATTAAGATTTCACAAGCTACTTTCACTTTGGAGAGGTTGCCTATGAATCCTTGTGGAACGTTCCTTTAACATGACATTTTGGTGACATATAAGCTGTGTTTCCTGCTGATACATAATTTTGATATCACTGGGACTTCAAACTTTTGTACAAGACTGTATTCCAGAAATTATAGCGTGTATTTTTGTGGAAAAGTCCCTAATATTTTTTGGTCTTCAGCTAATCTTCTCAGTGGAAAAGTCCCTGACTAAAAGAAGGCTCTGGAAACCTGCTGAGGAGGAGGTCTCAGACAGAGCAGCTCTTCAAATCTGCTCTGCTACAAAGAAGTATCCTTTATGAGCAAGGTTTACTGGCTGAGGCTGCTACCCCTGACCTGTGTCATTGCTGATTAGTGAGAAACTGGGAGGGGTGAGTTATCTGAGTTCAGACAGACAGAGATCAGATTGAAATTGTAAAGTTTTCTAGTAGACCATGAGTAAGGCTGTTGACCCTTTTATCCTTGCAAAATTCCCATAATTTCTCATTGTTAGGGTTGTCTGTGTGGTGGCATCACATTATGCCTTCCCCAGTCAGTCTTGAATAGCATAAGTTGAAGAAAACATCTAAAATAGTGTTTAGCACCTTGATCTTGCTGTTACCAATGGTACTTCCATGGAATTAGGGAAGCAGCAGGCATTGGGATAGAAAAGTGCAGGGTCTGTTGGTGATGAGATAATGCAAGGAGAGAAAGGAGGATCTTAGAGAGGCGAGAGAGACAAGGACAAATTATGAATTGGTGCCCTGGTGGTTCTCCCTGACAGTACATATTGATCTTAATTTACTTGTAAGAGCTGGGACAGCATCACTGTGGTAGTTGGAGTTACAGGCAAATGTTTTTCTGCTTTTTTACACTCATGAAAAGTGAGAACTTCCTTGAGGGCATCAGTTAGCTCCACAGGGAAGTTTAGTAAAGGACAAAGTTAATTGTGAGTTGCTCTTACTTCTTTTGCTTTTCACTGAATCTTTTTCTTTAAGTAGCAAAGAGTAGTTTGCAGAACCTACGACGTGCAGGATCCAAAGGTGAGCTCATCCTCCTGTGCCATGGGCAGCTTTTAGTGCATGGCAAGTAATATTCCAAAAATACATTGGCCTCTGAGTTATACAGTGCTTTGTGTAGATGCTTTATGGCTTTTTTTGTTTTCTCTGCTCTCAGAGTTCAGCTAAACCAGCAGATTGGAAATACCAGAGTGCTCTGTCTGCCTCCTGGCTGGCTTTGGGCTGCACAGTAAATGTTAATATTCACATCCCACTTCTTGCTACTTCCCCAAACCATGACCTGGAGAAGAATACCAAGGTAACTAACTGCCTGCAGCAGTTACTGCACCAATTACTACAGTAATTACTCTGTTGAAAATGAAATGAGAGAAAAGATTTGAATAGTGCCATAGAGAAGTAGGACTAATCGGGGGAGAATATTTAGCAGTTATTCCTCTTGTAAATGTAATTCTTCTGCTGTGCTCAGTCAGAAGTTTCCGTGGCTCAAAATTACTTAACAAAATTGTCATGCGCAGTCCAAATAACGTCTCTGCTGCCTCATCTAGTGAAAGGTTACACCCAATTAGAGGAGGGCATGGGGTGCTTTTAGTATGAATTGACTTTCAGTAGCCTGCAACGCTTCCTAAAAACCCCAGATCCCTGGGGTGGCCCTTCAGTGTTTTGTAATTCTTGTTTCTTAATGGCTGTGTTCTGAACATGGTGGGTCTAAGAGTTACCTTTGGGGAAAAAACATAGAGACTGTTTTTTCACAGACTTTAAAACTCCCTTGGAGCAACTGTTGAAACATGTATTTCTGTAATTTTCAGTGTGATGCTGCCCAACCCTTTAGTGAAATTCTCTTTCCTCTTTCTGATGAGATTTTTGTGTTTTCACTTACTTCAAAGAACGGGTTAAACCGGTGGTCGAAGCAGATAGAAGACAGTGTTTTCCTCATCAATGGACAAGTTAAAGATGATGATACAGAGCTACTGGAAGGGCAGGTGAGTCCCAAACAACAAGGAATTGAGCTCTAATAGATGTGTTTTTGGAACCTCCGGTGTGATGAAGCATTGACCGAGACACCTTCCGTACAGTATTTGTTGATCTAATTGACCTGTTCCAGGTCACTGATACTCAGGACTGCTTGTGTTCTTTGCTGCAGGTTCCATGTTCTTCCTCTGGCAACTTGAACACGATAATTATATGTGCAGTCTGACTAAAATGTTGCTATTAAAGAACGTGAGTCAGGTGTGAATGTAGGTGATGGGATTTCAAAGACCTGCATCTGTCTGAATGTTTATCGAAGAGTGGAAGCACCTTGGTTGGCTGATGCATCCATCTCTCCTTTGAGTTCTGTGATTATATTCCCATGGCTGGTTTCTATGTGGCATTTTTCTCTCTTGAAGGCTATAAACTAGGGCACATTTTATGCCATAGTGAGGAGACTTGATTCAGTGGCGTTCTTTCCAGTTTCATGACACAAAGAATATTTTTTTCCCCTCAGAAAAAGTCAAGAGGAAATACTCAGTCCAGCACTCAGTTCTCTGATGTCAAGGTGCTGACACAGCTGGTAAGTGTTTAGTGGTTTGCAAAGTATAACCTTGCTGTTAGATTATAAAATAGAATAAAAACTAAAAAAAATCTGAATTATTGTCCAGAAATCCAGCTTACTTATTCATAAGACTGTTTTTGCTCCTGTGGATACTGTTTGATATGATCCTGCTGTTTGCTGACAGACCTGCATATTTCATGCCTTTAGAAATTCTCGTGGTGTGAAAACCATGTTGTCAGTGAGTTGCATAACTTGGAAAGACTGGAAAACAGGTTATGGAAAAAGAAGTCCTTCAAACTAATTCATTTGGTAGTGGGATACCTGTATGTACCTGTGTACATTGATTTCAGGGTGACTTTGCATCTGAAGTTCACAGTTGCCCCACATTTCAACTTGCCTTGGCCACCTGGGACATTCATTTGGATGCTTTTGTCAGAAGCTGTCACCAGCTCTGGGTTAAGGCACAGATCCTGTGAGCTGGATCATCATGTGGAGCTCCTGGGTCTGTGTCAGGGGTTTCCTCTGTGCCAGAGGTCATGATGAGCCCTGAATTTGGTGCCCCAGCCTGGGTCCTGAAGCCCAAATGTGTCCAGGCATTACTTTGTAGGCATCTTTGCACAGCACAAGCCATCCTGTTTCATCAGGTAGTTCCTGGATTCTCTTCAGTTTTGTTCAGCAAAACTTCTAGAAATTTGTAAGATGCCATTTTAGAGGCTTGTTGAGTGTCTCAGCTTCTTGTGTTGTTCCTCTGTTGTTCCTGTGTATTGTGCTCAGGTTAATTGCCTCAGGGAATGGAGAACTTGATTTGGGCAGGAGTAGTTGGTGCAGTGGGTGTGGGAGTTGTGCATCCCTGTGTTTCCAGGTGTTGGCCCAGAGTGCTGCCTGCACACACACACTGTTGTGGTAATTAGGGGGAGCATTGCTGGGCAACACTTTGATGCAGTTCTACATGTGGCCACATGTATAATTTAGTACTGACTGATGGGGTGACTCCCAGGGCACCCTGGGTTACACTGACTACACAGTAAACATTAAAACCTCATTGCTGAAAAAAGAAAGGCCTAAAAGGTTTTATGGATTGCAATACTGGAAAGTTTTAGAAGGCTTGTACGCACAAATACTTGAAACATCTGGGAAAATAAATACATTTTCCGTAACGCAAAAGAGACTTGGAGTCTTACCTAAACAAACTAAAAGATAAAGTAAAATTAGAGTTATAAATTATAAAGGGAAACAGGTTGTATGTGAACATCTGAAGGTGTGCTATTAATTTCCTAGTGCTGTTCTGTGTTGCTGGTGCTGCAGGTGCCTTGGTGAGCAGATAAAGCTGAAATGTTTGCTTTTCAGTGCCAGGGTTCCAGTCACAGATCGACAGCTACAGTGCAGGTGTGCAGTGGTTCCATAAACCTCAGGGGGGCTGTGAAATGCAGAGCCTACATCCATAACAACAAGCCAAGGGTTAAAGAAGCCATTCAGGTACTGAAAAGGGGGTTAGTTCAGCACAAACACTTTTCTGAAATATGTGAAACTTGCCATGCTGGTTTTTCTTTGCCAGAATAGTTTATAGCAAAGGGGTCAAAATGTTCGTCCCCTTGCACGTTATTGTGTCAATGCCTTGTGAGTATTTTTGTTTGGTTTTAGTGCTAACTGTCTAGAAGTTGACAGATCTTATCCTAAAATTCCTAAACCTTTCCTCAACTTTTCATTTTTGTTTTGTTGCTTTCTTTCTGGATATTAATTCTTTTGATGTTAACTTCTCTTTATTGAGCTTTTAAAATTCACATTAGTTCTGATTTTCTGGGAAAAACTATTCTTTCACCATGGGTTTAAGCCTATGAGGGACTGGGGTTATTTCTTACTAGTCAAAATTTGCAAATGGCTTTTGTATTACTGATAATTATATTTTTATTACTGATGATTTCACTTTGTCCTTGCAGGCTTTGAAAAGGGACATAATAAACACATTGAGTGATAGGTGTGAAATACTGTTTGAAGATCTGATTTTAAATGAAGGACCTCAGAAAAAAAGTAAGAAAAATAAAACCCCCAGCAACTTATATTTGCAGTGAATTTTGGTTGTTGTGGAAAATTCTGCTGGTATAGTGAAGATCCAGTGTGGTTAGAGCAGAATAAAAAGCAAAAGGCACAATTTCTGCTTGGCAGCCTTGACTTTTTCCTAAATCTGGAGAACCTGTGTCAAGTTCAGGTGTGTCCTTTGGCATCACAGCTCTCACCCCATGTTTGCATTCAGGTCTTGTGACCACAAAAGACAGTTTCACCCTCTTTCTCACTGATTGGAAATACTGTGATTTTTAAAACTTCCCTAGTTGAAATTCCTGTCCCCGAAGTTCCAACTGCAACTTGCACATTTTAGATTTTTATTTTTGAAATCACTGTATGGCATTCCTGTATAATATTGCAGGATGTTTAAACTTGGTAGGATTAAATGAAACAGCTGGGCATGGCTCTGCATGTTTTTCTGTCACCTGTGTTACAAGTGTTACTGGACAGGTGCCCTGAAATTCAGGACTTCATCTCTGTTAAATTAAATTGGCATTGTATATGATAATTATGGTATAAAGAAGTATCCTGATTTCTTTTTTTTAACTATACAAATATATCATTTGTGTTGTCTCTGCCCCCTGAACTTATTGCTCTGCACCAAATACTATTTTACAGATGTGTGTCTTTTATAGGAGTGGACCTTATTTCAGCACCATAACTAATTGCTGGGTTGCATTAACTTGACTTGAACAGAGCATAAAACTGCCTATCATGATTATATTCAAACCCGAGGAGGAGTGTGCTGGGACCAGATCTCTGCGCTCCTGCTGGGGATTCTTTAAACTTCTTTAAGTTTAAAGTTACCTTGGTGTCAAGGTACCAAGTTACCTTGTTGTTGTGTTTAAATAAAAAATTAGTGAATTGAAATAGCAGTTTTGAGTATCTTAGGTGAAGGAAAGCCTTTTCCTTTGCATGTAGTTCTGAGTTTGCTCTTTAGGTGGCACTCGAACTTTGTGTCTGCAATCCCGTATGGTGGTGAAATCCTTATCTGCAGGCTCTCCCAGAGTTCTGCTGGTCATTCCAACCAGGAGAAAAGCTCCACTTGAAGTTTTATGGTCTGTTTTAGAGCTCTCTGGGATACTTCTGGAGAGACTAATAATGTAAGTTATATAACTAATAATAGATCAATATCACAGCAGCCAAAACTTCCACAAAACAGCAACAGCTAAACAAGCCGTGCCTGAAATCAGGATTTTTTACATGGAGGCCTTGAGCAGTTCTTTTGCAATAGTTTTATCTTATGGCCAGGGATCAAGGAGGAATCTTATCATAACTGGTATGGTATTTTTCCCCCTTTCCTTGCAGATTTTGAGAGGGAATACCATGTCTTGCCTCAGAGACTCTTTGTGCCCGTGCCTGGGTCCAGTGTGATGCTCAGCGACTACAAGTTCGGCGATGAGGCCGCTGGAGAAATCCAGGAGCGTTTTGTGGAGCTGTTGGATCAGGCTGTGCAAGCTGAAGAAATCCACATAGCAGAGGGGATCAGCACAGGTGAGGGGCTGACAACCAGGACGGGCTGGATCATTTCTTAGGAAAACGTTGACTGATGGCATAGGCCAGTTTTATCCAGATGTGGATATGCCCAAATTCAGCTTGCTTCATACAAGCTCTAAGGGTTTATATCTAATAACAAATTCAAGATGTTTGTGGAAAATAGTAACTTTCTTGCAGTTTCTGTGTTTCTTGTAACAGACTTTTGTTTCTCAAGTATTTTTTCCCTTTTCACTGCATTATCTGTGCACTCAGGGCTGCAGCCCATGAACTGCAGGAGGTACATAAAGAGATGGTCCAACAAGGTTACTCTGCACATGAGTTAGGGATGATCCTATATTGACAAATAAACTGTAAGAAAAACCTGTAAAGTTTTATTTTCTTTATATTAATATATATATTTACTCTTTCAGTAGTCCAGTTTTTTTAGAGCTGAATAGTTCTGATACTGCTTAAAATAAGTTAGAAGAAGAAGCTGAATGATTTAGTCAAATCTACTATTTCTTCCCTACAGAATTAAAAAATGCTTTAAAAATCTGTTAGCAAAAAATACAAATACTCTGTGTCCTTCAGGAAATTTTCATGCTAAATCTGACTTTTTTAAAAAAAAAGTTTCTTTGTTCTGAGTGTTTTATAAAAAATGCAGTACCCAAACTTGAAGATACGTGATTCACCCAAAATCAAAAGAAAATTGAGAGGGCTTTTCATTTTCTGCTGAATGTCTTACAAGTTTATGTTCTGATTATGAGACTGTTATATGCCCTTTAACAGATACTTTGCTTTAATCTAGTCACTGACTTCCTTTTTCTGAATATTTCTGGTTTATATCATTCCCTGTTGGCTTTTTTTTTTCCCCTGTGTGATGTTGATTTTAATGTAGAAGCGAAACCTGATGTTGAAATGCATCCTGTGATCTCATGGAAGAGATTTTTCTCCCTTTTTTCCCTTCCATCAGCACGAATACGAACTGCAGGTTACGGTTTTATAATTTAAATTTAAAAAGAATGGCATCAATTCTCATATAAGGGCTCAGAATACTTTTTTGTTGCTATTTAGGGACAAAAACTGGGAAGTGCAGCCATGACTTGCTGTGCAGGGTGAGCTGTGAGTATTGATATTCTCCTTGACCCACTTGTGTACTTGGAGGGGTTTTTGAGTTTCTTAATGTCAGAGCTCACCCTAAATTCTTTTTATCTTTCTAAATGAATCAGTTCCTCCCCAAGGCTTTAACTAAACCTGTCAGCTGTGAACTGACTCATTATATGGAGAAGCAAGAGGTGTCCACAGCTCAGGGACCTCAAGGAAAACAGGAAAGCCAATAAAAATCTCTCTGGCATTATTAGAGTAACTTTAATACTCTTACAGCTAATTACTCCCGAGCTTTAGGGAATCAGTGGAACTTAGGGAAGCAAATTAGTATTGTAGCAGTGGCTGTAGGCGTGGGAGGGAGAGAGGAGATGATTCAGTTGAGCTTTATTGTGTGATCTGGAGGTGAGAAGAAAACCCCTTTGCACTGACAGCAGTGCCTCCCAAAGGTTGCTGCCAACACTGTGTGTGTGAAAGGATGGCCACAAAATGAGCTTGGGTGGTCCTGTAGCTTGCTGGGTGGGGGGGGATTTATGCTCTTTAACTAAAAAAAAAGACAAATTTAAAATTGATTTAATTACTAAATTAAAGTAAGTGCTTATTTTCTTTAGGGGGAAAAAAACCCAACCCACAAATTAAAGTAAGTGCATAGGAGAGAAGAAGGAAAACCATACAAACAGGATTTTAGGAAAACCTGGCCTTGTCCTGGAGAACAGCATAAAGATTGTCCATAGAACAGGATCTGTTCATTCTGATAATTATTGATGTGGCATCATTCACTCGTGGTTTATTAAAATCACAATGTATTTATACACTTCTATCCCACCAGAAGGGTCATTTTAGAAATGAGACCTATTAACTGCATAAGAAAAGTGTTCTGCATTCTAAGAGAAAACATTAATTAAGCAATTTGATTTTTGTGTGGTTGCTTTGGTATGAAGTGTCCCAAGTATTGCTGTGACCAGGTTTTTGTGGCATAACAGCAGTTGGGGGTTTCCCTTGTGTGAAGGCTTTTCCAGTTCTGATTTGGGCATCGTATGGTGGTTCTCTATTAATAATAGCCAATATTCAGTTGTTGGTTTGTCACCAGCCTTTCTATTTGAATCACAATTCCTGTGGTCTGAGGCACCAACCTTGAATTAACTGGCAATGCTCTCTGTGGTGAGGGTCTGGGGAAAGTTTGCTGATATAAAGAACTGTCTAAAATTCAAGAGCAGGCTTAATTTTATTTTTGCTCTTTAAAATATGCTCTTGAGAAGAAAAGGATCTATCAGTACAGGCAAAAGATTTACTTTTTAAACAGCTTTTAGTCAAAACATAGGAAATTTTGAGAAGGTCACTTTTATGTGCTTACTGAGCTTGGCCTCTGCTGCTGTTTCCTCCGGTGTTATTCTCTTGATTCCTTGGACAACTCTCCAGTGAGGACACTACTGGGTCGTGCTTTAAAATTGTTATGTGGAAAATAGAGAGTAAAACCCAAGCTATTTATAAATGAGAGACATAAATAGCTCTAACACTGTACTTTCAAGGTATTTAGTGCTTTAAAACAGGCAGCTGAAAGCTCTGCGTTTCTGATTGGCTTTACTAAATCCCTGCCCCTGCTCGGTGCAGCGGGTGGGGATAGACAGGAATAAGCCTTCAGCAGTGGTAATCACCTCCCCACCTTCGTTAGGGAACTGAAGACTTAATGAAGAATTGAGGATTCATAGAATTGCTGCTGGAAAACATCTGCTATTAAAACTTCGTATGAATTGTGCTACAGCTGCTACACGTGCACGTCCTTCCAGAAATGCCTTTGGGAACTAAATAGCTCAAGGCTGGTTCTTTTTCTTTTTCCCTTTTTTTTTTTTTTTGGTGTATTTTCCCCTCTGAGGAATGTGCAGCTACCTTGATGTGCAGCTTCCAAAGGTGCCTTCAGAAAAGCCCAGCAGTTCTTAGGAAGGCACGAAGAAACATGAAGTTAGAGGGCACAGACCATCCTACCTGCTCATCACACCTAAAGCAGAAAGGAACCTGCTGGATCTAGGTGACCCCAGAAATACTTAGTTTATCCCAAAGTGGTATGTTTTAGGGAATTCAGAACTGGACAGAATGTGGTGCTCACACTGTGCTAGTTAAGATACTTACTAAAAAGCTGTATTGCAACAGTTAATAATTCCTCTAGCTGAACATTTCTGCTAGTATTTTAGGCAGTCCTTGGCACAGAAAAAATAATGATGAAACCACTCATTGATGAAACCTCATTAAGGACCAGTGGGATTCAGTGATATTTGATAATTTCTCTTCCAAACAGCACACTTTGAAATGTTCTGAAACGCATTGAACTGTTGTGTTGATGTTTTGATTTTACGTGTATGTGCAGCTTACACAGAGATCTCCAACCCATGTTTTGCTTAATATATGGACATGTATGTGTCTGGATATCTGTATATCTCAATAGCTTATGAAGTTTCATATCAGACAGTTATTAATTGCTCTGCTGCAGCACATCCTGTACAAATTCAGTGGGTTTAAGGATAAAAATGGCTAAAGACAGATACTAAAAGTCTAGTTTGCTTCGCTGTAACAGGTCTTGTCTAGGTTTAACTTGAGAAGATTTTGAAGACAATCATCCTCATGAGTCATCTGAGATGACAGAAACAACCTTTCTGATCACATCTAGGTTATACATTTCCACTATAGCTAATGATAGAGAAAGTATTTTGTTAATCATTTGCATATGAATCATACAAAGGATGTGTCTTATTACTCAAGTATGTAACCTGTAATTTATTGCTGATAGACAACCCCACTGGGTGGTTGTGGAAACAGGAGCTCTGTTTTTATTTAGATCAGTGTTCCGTGGACTCCTCAAACTTGGTATCTGGTACTGCTGGGGGGATTTCTTTGTCTTCTGGACAATCCCTTAGGCTCATTCTCTTATCTCAGTGTGCCTGTTCTGTTCTTCCCAGAGACCCTCAGCTCTCACTGCAACAGCACAAACACTTTCTCTGGCTGGTTGCTTGTCCAGAAGTTGTCTGCAGTCATAGCTACTGAATTGTAATCCAAACTTTTGACAAGTGATGCCTTAGCAAACCCTCCTGGGAATGGGAATGCAAACTGAAGGCCTTTGGCCCACCACCATCGAGTAACCTTAGCACTGAGCTGGGATTCCATGCTGGCTCTGGGTGGCACAAACAGTTCAGGGGGAGGACTGGAGATTATTGCCCTTCTTTCTCTCCTCCCTGTCTCTAGCAAGCTGGGGATAGCCAAGTGGTGAGGGAAATCTTGGGGAAGGAAATAGATACAGGTTTGAATCCCATCTGTCTGGAAATAGATTCAAGCTCTCTCACATCCTGGCTGAGCAGACTAAGGATTTAGTAATCACTCCAAAGAAGAATGAGGCCTCTATGCCTGCTCAGAAGGGGTGTTTTTATGGGATCTTCAACAAGAAGTTTCTGTGGTTTGAAGAAATGCATTGATGGCTGTTGGGTAGGGAGGTGATGCTGGGCTCATCCTTGTGGCAGTGGGTTGGCACATGGCCTGAGCTCAGGGCAGATGGCTCTGAAAGGAAACTCTGATCCTGGAAAGTGGTTAATGGTAAATTTTGGTGGTTCCCCCTCGGAGCAGTCAAATTCTCCCCATGCTATGCAAATATGGTTGGGTATGTTACCATGGAAGCAGGGTGTGGAAGATGAGTTTCAGAAGAGGAACTCCTCCCCAAATGTACTTTGTCTCTTTAGTTTTACTCTCACACCCATATAGAACAATTTAGCACTGTGTTGTTGCTAACGTACTGCTTCAGTGAACTGCTTTTTGTACCATAAATGTAGTTGATGTGAAGTTGTTGGGCCTTTTGCATTAGTTCATTGTAAAACACAACTGATAGTTTTCCCCCTAGTATTTACTTCTTCCCTTGATTTCCATGCAGTTGATATTTGTCCAGTTCCTGACAACCTGGAGGACACACAACAGACACAGCTGACAAAAGCAACGTTGCTGATGAAGCTTCAACAAAATATGGGTATGTTGCTTCCCAGATTTTTGCTGTGGCAATGCCAAACCCACAGTGGGCCCTTTGTGTTTGCTCCCACAGCATCCCAATTTTCAGCCTCAGTAATTCAGCCACAGAACCCTCCTTTTCAATGCAACTTCTCCACCATACTCCCTTGTCCAGCCCCCATGTATGTCTGCACTCAGTACAGTTCTCTTGGCTGAAAGTCTTCTAGTGTTAAAATACAGTTATACTTTAGTCAACAAAGCAGTAACTTCTGCTTTCTATTTATTCTTAGAAGTAGAACATGGTAATTGGAGGATTAAATGTGTATTTGATGTAGATATATAAATATCTTTCCTTAAATCATTACTCAGGTGTTTTGGGGTTTTCTTGTGTGTCTTCTCAGCTACATCAGTAATGAGCAAGTTAGTCAACAGGGAAATGACTGTTGTGCTACAGAGACCTACAGAGTACATGTAGTGCTGCACAGAAAAGAAAAAAATTAATAGCTTTTGTTTCTTAAACTTTCAGTTATTTTTTCCCAGTTTGATTCCTAGAATGGAGTCAGTGCATTATTTTATGGCCAAGGTACTACAGAAGTGTGCAGCCAGCTGGATCTCTGGGAGGGTCCTGCTCTGATTGGAAGTGTCATGTGGAGCTTTTATAGTTTATTTATCCAACACTGTAGCTTTAGATTGAGGCTTAATGGTGTTAGGTAGCTCACAGAATGTCCTGAGTGGGAAGGGCCCCACAGGACCATCCAGTCCAACTCCTGGCCCTGCACAGACACAGACACCCCAACAATCCCACTGTCCCTCAGAGCGTTGTCCAAACCCTCCTGGAGCTCTGGCAGCCTTGGGGCTGTGCCCACTGCCCTGGGGAGCCTGGGCAGTGCCCAACCACCCTCTGGGGGAAGAACCTTTTCCTGATAAAAGCAGTTTTTGGGGTGACTCTTTGGTTTCTCCTCGGGCACATCCACCTGCCCCTGCCCTCCCCGTGCTGCCCTTGGCCCCTCACTGCCGTGTTTCTCTGTTATTCCAGGTGTGGTGGTGGCAGCTGCTGTTGCAATCCTTGCATCCATCTTCTCTTTCAACTACTTCAGTGACTGAGCTGCAGCCCCTGGAGCTCCATGGAAACGTTGGCCATTTCCAAGCTGGAAACAGCTGGGTTTAATGGATTGGTAATTAATTGTTGCCTAAATATCCCCAGGTAGATGTGCAATATCAGTGTAATGGGAGGCTCAGTTACCTTGTTCCAGCATGCACTTCATGTATCAAGTAGAATTATGCAGGTACAGAATCAAGTAGAAAGTGAATCAAGTTTACAAGAAACCAACCCTGTCGCTTCATATCAATGAATGATAATATTGTTTTCTAGAAGGAACCCTTAAAAAGAAATATGGAACCTTCATTTTCTTCTGCTGGCTCCTTCAGTGCAAAATGCTGCTCCTGGTGTTTCTTAGGCTACTGATAAGACTAGTGTAGTTACCTGGTATGACAATTCCTGCTTTAATTTGCTAAGAGAAATCTCATTAAAATTAATGGGGGAAAAATTAGATTTACTTTTAGGTAATACTGGTTAACTAGCATAAAAGATATACAAATAGTTTCTAGAATTTTCAAGACTAGATCAAGGCAGCCTGTAAATACCTTAGTTCAAGATCTGGAGAACTCAGAAATCAATAAATTTCTCTCTCCAGCTCTTATTCAATCATTGTTCTCTTGGAATATTAACTATTTCAGCAACAGCTACACGTAGGCAGCCCATGCAAGTTGTCAAATTTATTGCTAATCAGGATTTTTAGACTGTAAACAGAAATCTTTCCATTATAGGATATTTTCCAGGGTACACTGGGCTATAACAGGTTTACTGGCCATGAGGAGAGGTGAAGGAGGGAAGAATTCTAGGAAGGTTAATAAAGATAATTTGTAAATGAAATGTGATGTTTACTTGGACCTGAGCTACAATAGAAAAGAGTTCCAGATTTTAAGGCATTTTAATGCCACTGCAAATACCTTTTCTTGTTTAAAGGCACTGGAACACAAAGAAAAAATAAACACTTTGGTTCTAAAGCGTAATCAAGGACGTACTGGGATACCTTTATTAAAGGCAACTGTGAGAAAGGTGTCTTAACTGGTGTTGCCTCATCTGTGTATTCTGTTTTTACGTGTTTGGGAAAAAGAGCTGCTTTTAGCGTTGTGAGTATCCTTTGAAACACGGCGTTGACCTTTGGTGCTCAGTGTTGCTCAAGCAGGGCCTGCTGGAGGAAGGTGGATGTTGTAATGGGGGCACTGGGTTCAGCTCTGTGGGCTTTATAGGTGCATTTTATTCTGTGCCAGTGGGTGGAATCAAAAGCAAGATGGCATCATGCACAGCAGTTCCTCCAGGGGAGGCTGAGCGTTATCCAGAAAATGGGGTTAATTTTGTAACCTGCTTCAAAGCAGGGTTGACTTAAAAGTTGCTCTGCTAAAGTCTCTGTTAGAAGGAGGAGCAGGGGCATAATGAAAAGCAAAGAGTTTGTCTTTTGTCTCTTTTTTGAGGGGGAGGGGTGGGATGAGGAGGTAGAATACAACATTTTGGAGGTAAAATATAAAATAGTTACTCTGTAGTTGCCTGTTGCACACAACTCAGCCACAGAAGTGAAGTACAGCATCTGAGATGCTCAGTGTCTGACACCAGAGAAGAAAATGGTCAGGGAACACTCATCCTGTAGTTCTTCTCCTTTAGTACTTGTGGTGTAAAACATAAAGCTTGTTGGGATGTATAATTCCATGGGACCCCTAGCAGAGAACTCTGTTTTTCTTCCCCCCTGCAAGCTCACTCAGTGTTTAGTGAATGATCCTTTTCTCTATGGTCTTACTACAGATGGTCAAATTAACCCCCTAGCTTATAACTAACCGGCTATCAAGGAGCTGTGGAAGTCTGGTTTTCCAATTTGGACCTGGAAGAAAGCAAAGAAATTGCTTTTGATGGGATTTCTGCTTTCATACCAGAATAAGAATATGTGCAATAAGAAATTAATTTAACCCTGTCAAAGTAAAAATGAGTAATTTGACTTGTACCTACAGATTGAGCCTTCCAGTCATCCTGCCATGAGGAAACAGGGCATGTGGAAGAAAGCAAGTTCTCACTTGTCTGAGAATTACAGGACTAACCAAGAGGGGATTTCATGGTCCCATCCTTTTTTGTTGGCCATTGAGAACGTAAGAAAATGAGGGCTTAGGAGAAATGAAAGAGTGTGTGTAAGAGAAAAGGAACCTTTTAAAAGTCTCTTGGGTTACTGCATAACTCTAGCTCAGGTTTCATACAAGTTTATCCTTTTCCTATGCAATCCTGTGAAGCTTTTAGTCTGTGAAAACTGAGCTTTGTTAACTCATGTGCAGCACTGGAAATCTGTTTTAATTTTAATATGTAAGAGTCCAGAGGAATGGTTTGGACTTCAACAGCTGAAAGTCTGGCTCTTCTAAGCATAGTTCTAAAATTGAGGTTACAAAATAATTTTACAGAAGCCCTTATTTTCTGGGCTATGTGGCTTTCAAATGTGGTTTTGAAAAGCCTCAGTGGTCTGGGTCAATGAGGTTTATGGTCCCTCACATCTGAGGGCAGCATTTGATGTGGTGGGAACAGACAGGCTGGGGGGATTTGACCCCAGCTGGCAACTAAAGGACCACACAGGGCTCACTCCCCTCCTTGGGGCAGGGGGAGGAGGGTTGGGACAGAGGGACAACTTTTGGGTTGCCATGAGAACAGTTTAATAATTGAAATAAAGTAAAACATAATCATAGTAATGAGAAGGGACATAACAAAAAGAGAAAGAATACAACCCCAGAGAGACAAGGGATGCCCAAGGCAGTTGCTCACCACCCACTGCATCCAAAGCACAGCCTCCCTGTGCTGGATGCTGGGAAGAGAAATAACTCCCCCAACTGACACTTTGATCTACCAGAGGTTTTGTCTGGGTTTGATCAGCAGTGACACCAGTGATAAGATGAATATTTGGGGACACTCAGGGTCTCTGTGCCTTTGAGTCTGAAGGAAGAGGAACCATAGCCCAGGGCAGCAGGGAGGTACCCCCATGTGCTTTTTGAAGCATTTACTGTTTGTTACTCAAAAAACCTTTGTACAGTAATAAATGTTTGAGTCAAGTCTTGCTTTTTGGGGTTTTTTTAAGTTTTTTTTTTTTCTTCCCCTGCAGAAACCTGGATAACTGCTGTGATCAGAGCTTTATTTGCAACTTCATTAGTCATGAGCTGCTGTTGAGGCCTGGTGCCACATGTGTTTGCTCTCTCTCTTTGTTTTTTGTTTGAAATTACAGGTTGAAGGAAATACTACTTAAGCATGCTTAATCCTTCTCTTAAACTGGAGTGTCAGCTTATTTCTTACAGTAGCTATGGGTCCAGTTTCTGTGGTGGGATTGGTGGTTTTTTTGCTTTCAGCCTGGTTTTCAGAGAAATGAAGTTTATGTTACAAGGCTGCTGATGTGCAGCCTAATGGCTTTTGAGCCAAGTTGGATAAAGAGGGAAAGTTCTCAAGAACTTTAAGTTCCCACCACTTACATGGAGATTTTCTGGTGTGCAAAGGACAGAAATTTTTCACTAATCTTACTTTAAGACGTCATAAAAAAATACAAGTGAAATATTGACCGGCTACCCAGGTAACTGGTTATTTTTGTGATGGACAGAGATAATTCATTATTTTCTACATAATCTTTTATAAGATCACCGGATTTCCATTATGCTGAGTGGATCTGCAAATGGTAGATCTGCAAATATTCTGAGCACTGCTCCAAGGGAAAAGCTTTATTCCACCTAGAGTTCCCTCAGAAAGACTTATGACACCCCCTCCACTCAGCAATTTACAGCATGGAAATCATAACATTTGGAGAACATGTTGTTGGAATTCTCGGTGGAATAAAATCATGAATTGTTTTACAGATTATAAAGAAGATTGTACAAGAGCTGATAAAGGAACTTCATTTGTTAGCTTAGTGTACATGAGGTGAGGTTTCTAGAGCTCTGTTAAGACATCCATCCATTGCAAAAACAATATTAAAAGTAGAAAATCAGCAGCATTTTCATAGTTTCTGAAAATGAACCAAAAAAAGAGAAATAATATTTAACTTTATAGTGAGTTTCCCCTCAGATTGTTAAATTGTAGTTCTCAGCAGCTTCCCTTTAACAAAACTCAAAACTTTGGGCTTAGGAAATGTCTAATGAGTGCTTACTAATATTTCACATGTTTTAAGGCTAAGGTTGTGCACTACCAATATATTTCACACTTCCAATGGCAGGTCTCAAGGGCTGTTAAGCTTTATTCAGAGTTATTACATAAGCACAATATACTTTTTCAGATACTGCAGACATTTTAAACATTGCTGCTCAACCTGTGGAGCACCCATGAACTGAAAGGAGCTGATGCTGTGTCTGTGTTTGCTGTTGTGAGAGCAACACTTGTGCAGTGTTGTCACAGAAGTGACAACAAGAAGGGGGAGAAATTTATTTCTTTTCATGAATATCGAATATTAAATGTGGAAGCATAAAATATTGTCCTAGTTACCTAAGTTATTTAGGAATGTGAGGACTTTGGGCTGTTAGTCCTTCAAACTGCTTTTTCTTGCTGAAGTTGGTAGAAGTGTATCTGAGGAGCCATAATCCAGGGGATGGACATGGCTTTTTGTGTGCACAGAGGGATGGATCAGTCTGAAATGAAGGTCTTGTGCTTCTTGGAGACAGGCATGGGCCCTCAGTTTTTAATCCTTTTTACCTTCACATCTTAAAGATCACCAGCATTGTCTGCTGTTCTTCCTATTACTTGTGGCATAGAGATAATTATGTGCAGGACTGCCAGTTGTGTGTGTTTGAAGTAAAATTCGTATCCTAACAGTTAAATAATTTTGTATCTTTGTATCTTACAAGTAAGTTAGCAAAGACAGCCTTCTCTAAACGAGATGAGTGTTACTGACATTGATTTACAGCTTACTGAGGAGGAAAGGGAGACAGTGAGCACCGTGGCTCTGACTATTCAACATCCTGCTCATCCGTGTTGCCATTTCCCAGGGCGGGCAGCGTCCCCTCAGGCAGCAGCCCGTACTCATTCAGGAAAGCCTCCACATCCACAGCAAAGAACTCCTCATTGAACTGTTCAGAAACACTAATGAAATTGCTCAGCAGCTCCCCAGCCTTGTAGACCAGCAGGGAGGGGAGCACCTCGTTGGAGAAGCGATCTCCAGCCCCCGTGCTGGAGGCCTTGATCTTGCAGAACTTCACGGTGGGGTACTCTGCGGCCAGGCAGGTCAGGCTGCTGTTGAGGGCGTCGCAGCCCTTCACACCATCTTCATAAATGTGCACTATCACCGTGGTGGTTTTGTGTTCCTTCTCCACGGCCTCCAGGAACTGTTCCCCGTTCTGCAGCTCGCACAGGTAACCGAACTTGGGCCCGAAGCTGAGCCGCTGGTGCATGTCCTGCATGCAGCGCTTGCGGTACTGCTGTAGGCAGCTCTCGTCCTCCTGCGCGTCGTGGATCAGCTCGTACTCCTGCATGCTCATCTGGGGGGGCCAGAGAACGTCGGGTTAGGGAGGGCTAAGCCCTCGGTGCTGAGATGGGAAGAGCCCCTGCTGTTGTCTAAAGAACATCCAAGCTGACCCTGCAGTGACTCTGGAAGGTCTCCTCAAGACACGGGTGAAGGTCCTGCCTCAACACTTCCACGTCAACGTGACAGTGTTGGAGGCAGTTGCCACATTGACAAAAACCTCTGGATCTTCCAGAGTTGGTAGGAATTTTGTCACTGACTGCAGTGGGCTCAAAGTTTAATTCCTGTGTTTTTGGGGGTTTGGGTCCCCCCCGTTCAGACCTGGCAGGTGGTAATGAGTGACATTCAGGCTCAGAGCTCTGTCCCTGACTAATAGGTTTTTAAACAGGTTAAATGTTTTCCTTTGCCTTAACCACGGATAGATCACTGTGGCAGGGAAGAGAGGAAGAAAAGTCAAACTGTGCTGTGATAGGTTGTTGTCTTTTGCTTGAGAGAGGACTGGGTAGAGAGAACCTTTAAGGCTGGAAAAGCCCTCTAAGATCATTGAGTCCAACCATTAACCCAGCTCTGCCAATTCTACCACTAATCCATGTCCCTAGGTACCACATCCCCATTTTTTTGGACACTTCCAGGAATGGTGATTCCACCAGTTCCCTGGGTGGTCTGTTCTAATGCCTGACAACCCTTTTGGTGAAATTTTTTTCCCTTATGTCCAATCTGAGCCTCCCCTGGCACAGCTGGAGGCCGTTCCCTCTCCTCCTGTCCCTTGTTCCCTGGGAGCGGAGCCCGACTCCCCCCTCCTGTCAGGGACTTGCAGAGCCAGAAGGTCCCCCCTGAGCCTCCTTTTCTCCAGGCTGAGCCCCCCCAGCTCCCTCAGCTGCTCCTGCTGCTCCAGCCCCTTCCCAGCTCCCTTGGTTTGCACGTGGTTTGTTCTCTCTGTGCTGGGAGAGCTCTGCTAAGTTACACAGAAATTGAGTTTGGCAAATTCAGGATTTTCTAGCTTATAACTGGTATGTTTTATCTAGAATCAAAATTCATTTATTTTGCTCTACTTACCTTACGGCAGAATCTCTCTCTGGTGTCTTTATCATCTCTACTGAAGGATCTGTGTGGTGAAGACATTTGTCTAAGCATTTCTTTCTTGCTCAAGGATAAGGACTCTCCATCTTCACTTTCTAATTTAAACTTCCTCCAGTCATTGATCACACCTTTGGGCCCTAAGAGAGATGAAGCTGGATGAGAAACTGCAACAAGGAGCTTCTTGAGAAGTTTCTGCTCTTTGCTGCTTTGTCCTTCTGTGCCTCAGTTTATCTGTCCGTCCCTCTTCCTCCCAGAACTCTCTCCAGGAGTGCTGAGAACCCAAACTTTGGGACTAATGTGTCCCAAAAAGTAAGAGTTTTTTCTAACCTGGATCACTTTGGGGTTCTGCTTCCTATCAGGAGCCCATGAACGGATTTTGGTGAGCTATTTCAGTAGTTAACAAGGATGAGAATGTTGAAACCTGGTAAAATTGCCATGTTCGCCAAAGCTTGTGTTTCATACAAGTATATTTGCATGTCTCTATAGACAGTGCATTTATATAAATAAATTGTATAAGAACTCACAGTAAAATTAAGAATACAGGACACTTGACATTTCTTTTTAAACCCATACTTGTTCCACTGGAAGAGTAACCCATAAGGCAAATGCTACAATAGTTCTGATTGTAATGCAGAGCTGGTTGACTGAAATGGTTAAATTTTGAAAGAGGGGAGGGGGAAATTAATTTCAAATTCCAGTGCTGTTTTTCAAAATGAAGCATTTGAATCTGCAGCTTAGTTTATAAGGCATAACCAAGGAATATTTTGGTGTTTTCAGAGGTGAAGCGTCCCAGAGAGAGTTAGCACAAGAGCTCCAAGAAAAGGAAGCCCTTGGAGCACGGGGGGGAACATCTCGTTGCCTGCTGGTGTCCATGTTCTACACACGGGTCATGATCCCTGGGTGTGGAGCTGAACACAGTGTCAGGACTCATAAAAATCCTGAGGATTGAGTGCTGCTTTAAAAAAACTGATGATTTTGAGCAAGACTTCTCTTAAAGCTTCTAAATGCTGCGCTGTGTTTGCCAAGAGGACTTACAGGTTCATTTTTAGTTCTCAGTGTTCCTTCTATAAAAAGGAAAACATAATTTTGCCTTTATAGTGAAATATTATTGCTAAATTCTAGTGTGGGGTTTGTTGCTGTTTGGTTTTCTCTCTTCCCCAGGAGAAGGAAGGCCATCCTTCAGGAGCAACCCACAGGAGCTCCACTGCTCTTGGTGGCTTTGTCAAGTGTCTCCTGTGTTGGCTGTTTGCTTCAGGTATGAGGAGGATTGGCACAAAGATCAGACTGGTGTTACCTGCCCTTACCCCAAAATGCATCCTCATTGCCTTTGGAACCTGTGTTTCTGCTCAAGGGGATTGGTGAATCCATTGGATCCACTGGAATTCTGTGCTTCCCCAGTGAACAGGGACAGTTTAGCTTATTTTTAGGGGGAACAAAAAAAGGCAATTAGTTTCCTTGCCTGTGTGTGTCGCCTGTCCTTCGAAGTCTTCTTCCAAGCTGGTGTTGGCATTTTCTTCCATGTCAGTGGCTGGAGCA